ATCCCAGCATTCAACCCCTTCCCTTGGGGAGCAGTGGGCTGCCATTGTGTGGCTCCGAGGGAGCATTGTGGGGTTCAGGGTCTGGCTCAGGGACCCAGGGGCAGGCTGTGGGGGTGGATCCTGAACTCTGAACCTCAGTCCCAGCTCTATGCTCTAACCATTAGCCTGCCACACTTTGATGACCGTAACTGACATTATTCATCATTTCCTCTTAATGTGTATATATTTTATCTCTTATTTTTTTTTTATCTTTATTATATTGTGTAGTTGGATGTGTATATATATATATATATATATATATATATACATAAAACTGTAACTGGAGCGTGTAACAAAAGCAATTTCCCTCTGGGATTATTAAAGTATTTCTGTTTCTGATTAACAAATGAAATCCAGGTGTTTTATTTTGAAGTCCAGACGGAAATGACCTCGTTGCTTAATGTCTGCTTCAGGCTGAGTGTAAACCGGAAGTGGTTGCTGCCTTTTACCTTTAACTTGATGCTGCTGCCCAGACAGCCGGACTGGAGCCGGACTGAGCCGAACTACAGGTAAGTGAACCCGGTCCGGTCCAGTTTGGTTCGGTGGTTCTGAACAGGAGCAGAGAGATCAGGGTTCTGGCCGTGTTCGGCTCGGTGCGGCAGGCCTGGCTGGGTCCGGTTCGGTTCGGTTAGTTCCGGTCCGCTGATCAGCTGCTTTCTGTTGCTGCTTTATTCCATAATCTGTGAAATAATCCAACATGAAGGATTAGATTAGAGCATCTTCTGGGTCTGAGGGGACCTCCTCAACCACCAGCCAGGAGGAGCAGCAGGAGGAGCAGCAGGAGGAGCAGCAGGAGGAGCAGCAGGAGATCCCTGTGTTTATAGCGCTGCTGAGGGACAGTCTGATCTAATAGGGACGGTCTGGTCTGATGGGGACAGTATGGTCTGATGGGGACGGCCTGGTCTGATGGGGGACAGTCTGGTCTAATAGGGACAGTCTGGTCTGATGGGGACAGTATGGTCTGATGGGGGACAGTCTGGTCTAATAGGGACAGTCTGGTCTGATGGGGACAGTATGGTCTGATGGGGGACAGTCTGGTCTAATAGGGACAGTCTGGTC